TGAATTGAAGTATCCATTGAGATATGATGCCACGCGTGAAGGGCTCAAACGGCAATTTGCAGCGAGAGTTGAAGTCAAAACGGGGGCGAAATGTGAACCCGAAACCCTACAAGACCGCTGTTTGGCCAAAAATGTCGGCTAAACCGGCAAAAAAAAATTCTAAACAGTACAGTAGCACAGATTATTTAGCCAAGCAAATTGATAAGTCTCCTGTCTATAATAACAAATATAGACGTCCGTTAGCTGACCAATTAAAGAACATTTTTATCGTTTTTAACCCTTGTTTACGACCGTTAACAATTTTGAAAAGGTGCCCTAAAAACTTAACAAAATAATCACAATTTCGGTTCATTTTTGACCACCTTTAATATTAACAAAATCACCTTTCAAAAGTAAGTCAGGTGTTTTTTTGTGAAGTACGGTACATATAAAACTCTACACATTTGTACAATTTTCGAGAATACAATATTGTACAATTAAACTGCACTTCTGTGTAACCGCTACTTTATAAGTCTAAGTGAAATAAGCTCTAAATGTATGCCGATCTGAAAGGACAGCAAAAACAAGATTATCTTTCATTTCAGAGGCTATTGATCCTGCTTATGAACAAAGTGCTTAGAGATAATTCCTAATGTTACAGCGCAAAGTGCAAGATGACCATATTGTACACGGTAGCATGTAAACGATCCCGCGAACAAGGCGTGAAGAGGTGTATTTTCTGTAACGATGAAACAAGAAATTACCAAGAATAAATTTACAGAGAGCTAGACACAGTTAGATAGTTATGCCTATTTCTGGCGCCGAAAGGGTCTGGAAACTGGCGGCCAGCTGTCCAGAAGCGTCAATTGCATGCCTAGAAACTCTAACCCGTGTTAATCAGTGTGCGATGCGATATACCTCCAAAAGCGTCCAACAAGGAGTTGGTCGGAGCAAAGATGGTACCCAACAATAGGCCAGCATCTAGCCCTGTGAGAGCATAGACTACAAAAATCTCCCGCTTAATGTACGAAGTTGAGAATTTCATAAAAATTGACCATGTTCAAAAGAAGAGCACGTCGCTTGCGGTCTCCGAGCCAGGCCTCCGCGCATAGTGATGGGCACTTAAGTGCAGCACATGTGTGGGAAAGGCGTTCTTACATATAAACAATTCGGATCGATTTATATGTCGTGAAAACGCGCACCGCCTAACTCTCTTTGCAGCGGGGCTGCCGTAGCTTTGCGCTTGAGGAAGCGTCTTTAGGTCACCGACCTTTCGTTCTTTACAAGAACCAAGTACTAGTGCAACGGATAGCATTCCGCTCTCTATAGGTACTTAAGAGCCTTAACCAAGGCAAACGAACACTTTTGTTCAAAATTGAAAACTGATTTTAACTTACATTTTTATTCTAATGTTGAGAGTTTAGATTTTTCTAAATAAACTAAATATT